CTTCTATGTCAACTCTGAAGGTGGCCTGACCGAGGTCATATTGGAGGCTTCAGTGTTGCCACAATGGTGCTGAGTAGGGGTAAAATCCAGCAGGTTCTGACAGGTTCTGGAGAACCGGTGGTGGAAATTTTGAGTAGTTCGGAGAACCACTGTCCTTGGTAGTACAGGGGTTTAAGGCACCCTGTTATTAAGCTGGTTATTAAGACCAGCTGCCTGCAATTACTGCAGGGTTCGAATCTCGCCAAGGCTCAAGGTTGACTCAGCCTTCCATCCTTTCTAAGGTAGGTAAATTGAGGACCCAGTTTGTGGGGGCAATAAGCTGACTTTGTATAAAATATACAAAAGTATGAAGGCTATTGCTGAGCACATTGTAAGCCGCCCTGAGTCTTCGGAGAAGGGCGGCATATAAATCAAATTAAAAAAAAAAAAAACCGGCAAATACCACCTCTGACTGGTCCCAGAGTGGGGTGGGAATGGAGATTTTGCAATATCCTTCCCCCAACAGGAGTGGGGAGGGAATGGGAATTTTGCAATATCCTTCCCCCAGCAGGAGTGTGGAGGGAATGGAGATTTTGAAGTATCCTTCCCCTGCCACGCCCACCAAGTCACGCCCACAGAACCAGTAGTAAAATAATTTGGATTTCACCACTGGTGCTGAGGGATAGAATAGAAATAGCTGGGTTTTGTAGCCAAAACAAAGTAGTTTCCCCTGAGAACCAAGAACATTCCCACAAGTGGCTGAAGAGAGGAGCTGTGAAGTTTCCAAGCAACCGGACAGCACCTTGATTGGACCATGTGACTGATTTTTGGGGAAAGCAGGAGGACTTTTATTTTTAATTAGGTGAAAACCACAGGAACTTTTAGAGTCGCTTTTCACCAGCTGGTGTCAATATGATATATCCAATACACTTGTTCTTTGAGGAAACTGCTTGCCTCGGAGTTCTGTCTACTCCGGGGGTATTGCTTGGAAACACAAATCTGAGAGATCACTGCAGGTAAGCCACACAGCCACACTATTACACAGCCATTTCTGTAATAGCCATTTGTGTAATAGCACCTTTAGAGGTTTTGAAAGCCTGTTCTGCCTAAGTAAATTGAAATGCATTCAAGTAGTTCTTAATACAACTGCTAGTAATGATTTGTCAAGGGCAATTATTTTATTTTATTTTGCCAGTCATCTGGAGAATTCTAATTACAAGTAAAAGTTCAAAAGAAAGTTGTTACAGATTGTCATAACTTCAACCTAGAAAACTCATACTATTTTTAAGCAATTAAAATCTAATGAATCTATTCATTTTACAAACTTGAAGCTTGGTAGATCTCAAGCATATCCTGTTGGCAAACATTGCTTTTCCTGACAGATAATACTCAGCTATAGTAGCTAAAACTCCTTAAAGTCAGTCAACCATGAATTTGGAGAGGGAATCCTGCTGGAAATTGTACCCTTAACTTTTTAATAAAAATGTAATTTGGTACATTGCTTTTTACTGTGATAATTATATAAGTGAAAATAATTCATAGAAAGCTGCTGTGAATCTTTATACTAGTACAATTATGCGGCAAAAAGCAGAGACTTTATTAAGTGATGGGTGTTGTGGGCTAAGACATGTCAACTTTAAGACTTGTGGACTTCAACTCCCAGAATTCCCCAGCCAGCAGGGGTGACTGGGAAATTCTGGAAATTGAAGTCCACAAGTCTTAAGGTTGACAAGTTTGAGATCCCTGGATTAAGAGAAGCTAAAGATGATTTTATGGACTTCGACAAACTAAGGATGATGTAAAAGAGTTGGGTGTGTTCAGCTTGAAGGAATGACAATTTAGAGACAACATGAGACCCAGAGTCAGGTACCTGAAGGTCAACTCAGATGGAGGAGAAAAAGTTATTCTCTATTGGTCCAGAAATTAGAACCCCATCAACCCATGTGTTTCCTATATTCCAAAATATACTGCTCAAAAAAATAAAGGGAACACAAGCAGAAGACATCCAAGATCTGAATGAATGCAATAGCCTTATGTACATACAGTAGTTTATACACTGCTCAAACAACTAAAGGGAACACAAAACTACTGTATGTAACGAACAAAGTATTTAATAAGGCTATTTCATTCATTCAGATCTCGGATGTCTTCTGCTTGTGTTCCCTTTATTTTTTTGAGCAGTGTGCATACCCACCACATTATTCTCTTCATAGAAACAACATTACGCAAAACACAAAAAAGAAACAGAAAATCCTAACAAATTAAAAGAATTTGAACCAGCAGCATTCACTATATCTCTCTACATCTTTTTGTTCTTGAAATTGCCCTTTCATCACATCAATGTACAAGTTCATACATAGCCTGTTCAGTAAGAACTATCTGTAGTGCAGAATCCACTTATAGCTCAGAATAGAATAGAATAGAATAGAATAGAATAGAATAGAATAGAATAGAATAGAATAGAATAGAATAGAAAACAGAGTTGAAAGGGACCTTGGAGGTCTTCTAGTCCAACCCCCTGCTCAGGCAGGAAACCCTATACCATTTCAGACAAATGGTTGTCCAATCTCTTCTTTAAAACTTCCAATGTTTTAAAGAAGAGTTGCTCCACTGGTTATTTGTTCTAACTGTCAGGAAATTTCTTCTTAGTTCTAGGTTGCTTCTCTCCTTGATTAGTTTCCATCCATTGCTTCTTGTCCTGCCCTCAGGTGCTTTGGAAAATAGCTTGACTCCTTCTTCTTTGTGGCAGCCCCTGAGATATTGGAACACTGCTAACATGTCACCCCTAGTCCTTCTTTTCATTAAACTAGACATACCCAATTCCAGCAATCGTTCTTTATATGTTTTAGCCTCCAGTCCCCTAATCATCTTTGTTGCTCTTCTCTGCACTCTTTCTAGAGTTTCCACATCTTTTTTACATCGTGCCAACCAAAACTGAATGCAGTATTCCAAGTGTGGCCTTACCAAGGCATTATAAAGTGGTATTAACACTTCATGTGATCTTGATTCTATCCCTCTGTTAATGCAGCCTAGAATTGTGTTGGCTTTTTTGGCAGCTGTACACACTGCTGGCTCATACGTAAGTGATTGTCCACTAGGACTCCAAGATCTCTTTTACTACCAGTGGTGGGGTTCAACCAGTGTGACAACCGGTTTGTTGAGCACGCACTTCTCGCACACATAGCTCGCTTCACTTGCATGCGCACCGATTGAGTGCTGTGCATGGACGCACTGTCCATTAGAAAACACCATTAAAAGCAGTGTTAAAAGCACTAAAAACAGTGGAGGCATGGCAATCTGCTCTGCCACACCTATTAGCTGGGCTTCAAAGAAACAAAATAAAGGTAGGTATAGAAAAGGGTGGATGGGTGGACCCAGCTGATGGTGGGAGCGAACCAGTTCGGTCTCAGCTGATCTCCAGAGCAACTGGCTCACCTGAACTGGACTGAATAGGCTGAATCCCACCCCTGGTTACTACTATTGAGTGAGGTTCCACCTATACTGTACCTGTGCATTTGGTTTTTCTTGCCTAAATGTACCACCTTACTTTTTTCACCACTGAATTTCATTTTGTTAGCGCCAAATGTTCAAGTCTGTCAAGATCCTTCTGAATCTTAAGCCTATCTTCTGGAGTGTTGGCTATTCCTGACAGCTTGGTGTGATCTGCAAATTTAATGAGTTCCTCATCTATCCTCTCATCCAAATCATTGATGAAAATGTTGAAGAGTACTGGGCCTTGGAGTAGCCCACTACCTACGTGGGATACCCCACTGCATACTTCCCTCCATATAGGTGCAGCTGAAGCTGTTTGTATGGTTCCACTTCATTTTCTGTTGCTGCTACTGCTGCTATCTTTCAGGAAGTAATATGCAACTTATTTGATGATCAAAAATTAAACATATATCTTTCATTCAAAAGAGAAATTGGAGGTGAAAAATGTACCAAGGATGGAACTTTCCTGTGTGTACAATATTGTGTTTCTCTCCCCAAAAATGCTGATCTGGTTGTTCCAGGAAATGTCCATAATTTCACATAATTTTAACTTTCAGAAAATCATGAATTACACTTGAATGAGCTGAATAGGTACATTTCAGCAGAAAAGTGGCTTATCCTTTCATTGCATTCTTTAGGCAAGACTACATCCAGTATAAAGATTTTCAGTGCTTTAGATTTCCTAGTTCTATCTGCCTTTTTCTCCTGTTGTTCTGTGTTCTTGCTTTTGGGAATACTTTTTCCTTCTATATTTTAGTGTTCAGTCTTGTACATTTATGAGTTGGAACATAGGAACTATTAAATAATGTGTATTGTAAGCTGTATCTGATCATTCTTTGATGGAGAAAAGGAAAATCAGACAGGCGTAGTTTATAAACTACAATGATTAATAATTTGGAAAGGTACTTGTTTGCCTTTCATCTTTTTTTAAAAAAGTAGGTGTGTTGCATCATCTTAGGAAGCTAAGGAGTCTCTCCATTTGATCCTGAACTTCATAAAATAATTCATACAAATTATCAATTTGTCTAAAACTATAGTTTCATGTTCCCTGGTGAAGGAAGTCAGAACAGCTCTTTCAAAAATTAAACATTTTTTTAAAAAAGGGGGGGTAGTCTTTTGACCAAAAGTGATACGTTATTACCCTACTGACAAGCTCTGTTGGATGGTCTAATTATTTTAGAACAGAAATTAATATAAAGATGAGTAGTTAAGAGGCTACTTTTATTCTTTTCCATTGGTATTACAGAAAAACTTGCCTCATAGTAATTCCCTGCCAATACATCACCCAAAGAGGCTTGGAGTTATCAAGGCAAGGAACACCAACTGTTCCCAAACCAAAGCCAGAAAATCCAAGCCACTTATGTGACAGGAAGGCATGCTCAATAAGAGGACAGAAAGAGGGAGGGAGGGAGGGACAGGAGTCTGAGCAGAAGGCACGGGCCTATTGCAGGTCTTCTTGGGGTCTGATGCCAATTGCTACCTGCCAAAAGGAAAGAATAGGCTGCACAAAAGAAGCCACACACAGATCATAAAACAAAATTTATCTTTAATCTGTAAGTGTCAACAGCAGTACAAAATATGGAGTGATGGTGAATAGATTAAGGGCAGAGAGGACAGTCTTGAGGTAAATGAGCATAAATAGGCAGTCGTATAGACACTCCCCTGAGGGTTTAAACCCCCTTATCATGGCGTATATGGCATCACCCAATGATGACATGTTAAACATACCAGGAAAGCACCTTGTGCAAAAAGGGGAAGAGGAAGGAGAGGAAGAAGGGGAAGAAGGGGAAAAAAGAAGAGGAGGAGGAAGATGAGGAGGAAGAGAAAGAAACAAATATCCTCACAAAGATGTAAGTAAGGTGCCAGCATACACCAGAATATATGATATAAAGAAAGCGTCTTTCCATTTTGTCTTTTATATTCATTTCTGAGGCAGAGAAGAGAAAACTCTTAAAAGTACCACTGAAAAATTATTTAATATTTAATTTACCTCACGTCAATACTGCACAACAAAATCCAATAAGTCTGTTTATGCTATGAAGCAAAGCTAAGAATGATTTTTCCCTCTTAAATTAAGAGTACAGATATTTTTATTTTTTTATAAAACCAAAATCCTTAGCAAGCTTGGTTGTCTTTTCAAACTGCTTCAAGAGGAGAGTGTGTGAGAGATGCGATGGCAACCTTTTCAGTTCATTTAAAAACTTTACACTGGACTGTACAAGATTTTTTTCCTTTTTTGATAAACTATTTACATTTTCAGACTTTTAAAACATATTCAAAGCAGCAATAGACACTAGGGTTTTTTTTTTTTCCTTTACATGCCCAAATCATTACCAGCCCTGGGCTCAGGTAGGTACCTGCACTTTGTAAAGAATTTGTACAAGAAAATCTACCAGTTTAAAAATGGACTTATGGGGTGTAAGAAGAGCTTTGAAAGAGCCACCCCCAAGAGAACCAAAGCATAGTACCTTGACACGGGAAACCTCCGAGCTCCCCTCCCCCAACAGCTCTACACAAAACTTTACACTTTGAAACAGCAGCTAGCATTGTCAGTCCAGCATGTCAGTGAATTGTGCTGATTAAATTAACATAGAATACAATTTCACAATATACATCACAATGTCAGGAAAGAAAATGGGTTACAGTAAGTAACAGTTTATAAGCTCATCTTAGGGTAATAAAACATTTGTACATGGCAAATACAATAATGGATAGAAATATTTAAACATTCTAACATTTGCTACAGGAGGAGAGGGGGGAAAAACTGTGCTTTTGAGAAAGCAAAACACAAATGACAGGAAGACAAATGGAGAATGTGGACTAGCAGTACTGCAATGTGCAGTATACAAACAGTTAAATAGTTTGCACATTCCCCAAACTTTTGAGAGCACCAAGGACCTCACTTGGGGTTTCCTAAAAAAGCAGAAGTTATAAAGCAAGCAGATCACCGAACTTCTTTAGAACTTTCATATTATCATAAACACCAATGGGGTAGTTTTCTTACAATCATGCTAAAGCCACTCTTCTCTTTACACCAGTGAGCTCTCTCTGAATACTTTTCATTAGCTTCCAAAAATTAATTTGGGATGTTATAAAAAAAAGGGGGGGGGCATAAAATCCAATGACAAAGAAATCTAGCTGTTTTTTTAAAAAAAATCTGTATATTTTTTTCCTTTCTAATATGGGATCACAATACATCCACCATTCACAATATATCAACCATTCAGAGAACAAAGTAGTAAAAGGTAATGGTGGAGAACAGAGAAAAGAAAGCGAAATAAAATGATTTTGAGAAACAAAAGGACATAAGTGCTTTTATGTTTTTAAAAACATCAATTGAGGTCATATGTTAGTTTTTTTAAAGGTCATGCTTAAGTGCCAATTTTAGTCTTTAAACATGCATGCAACAATGAGAAGTTCTGAGAAACTATTTTTTTCAATTGAAAATATGAAATACTCTAATACATTCTACCAGCTGCACTTTTTGAATAGTTGTTGGCACTGACAATCCTATCCTGATATACATACTGTTATGTATAAGGTTCTGCTGAAGCTTCAGTTTAAAACATGTTTTGGACTTGAATTGAATAGCTTTGTTGCTTCAAAATATTCGCTGCTGAAAATTGATACTGCCTACACTTCATCTACCTATTCTGAAATATACCATGGGCTTCGCCTTGAATTTTGTTTTTCTGTACTGGATCATTGGCATTTTTTACTGGGAAAATATTTATAGTAAAGTAGAAATTAACAGCCAATAAGATGAAAAACAGCAGGAGATAACAATAAGAGCAGACTTTAACAATGTATCAAGTGATGCTTGCATTTACAAAATCATTTGTTTCATTTACACAATTATTCAAACAACCTCTTCTTTTTCAAGTTACTGCTGTCCTTGTAAAACTGGTTTTGTATTTATTGTAAATAACAATCACACTCATTCATACAGAGTGAACACCAGAGTGTAAATTTTGTCCCATTATAATCTCATCCTTCCTTCTCATACTGCCTCTTGATGACAATGGGGATCAGCAAGTTATCCAGGGCTTTCCCCCAAAGGATGTATTGGCATACCATCATACATTTATATAACAGAAGACAGTGGTTGCTACAGAACAGCGAAGCAAATGCACTGCATGTACAGCAGGCCTGCCTACGGATACTTGGGAAATGACTCTGAAAAAGCCCCCGGACTTTGCCAAATACAGCACCTCAGAACTCAAATTTTTCCAAGCTTCCATGTAAACCTGGAAAAAAAAATCCACTGCTGTACGAGTTGCATTAACTTTAATTCATGGTCTCTTTAAAGCAGCAACATCTTTTTTTTTCCAGGGTGAAATGGAAGTATTAACAACAACAAGAACAAAGAGCTGCTTTCATGAACAGAGAAGACCAGGCTTACAGGGGTCCAAACATTTTCTTTGTTTTAAACCATGCAGAGCCATAATGTTTCAACTCCTAAGCCTAGACTTTCAGTTTTTAAAAATGCCAACAGCATTGCCTAAAGCTTTCTCCAGCAATCTGCTACCTACATTGTTGGGGTGGTGGATTAAATGCCTTCATATAAGCCTGCATCTCATACTGTGTATTCTAAGAAATAGACATTTCCATTGCAGGTGCTTTCAGTCCTTTTTATAAACCCTGTGAAAATGTGTTTCAGTTATTTTATTCATGTCAAGTTGAATGCTTTTATTATATCTTTTAAACAATATTCTTCAATTGTCAACAAAAGATGTCAGAAGTCTTTCCTTGAAAGTTAAATATTAAATTTTGTGTTTGCAAAGTACAGTTACTCTAACAATCTAAGTGCATGGCATCACATTCATTTTAAATAAGCATTATCTTGGACAATAGAAAATTATCACTGCCCTTTTATATTTTACTGAATTATAAATGCTACAGTTCTATTTTGACAAGCCAATACTGTTTCACACCAAACACAGATTCTTTTTTAAAAAAAAAAATCTATGTTATATTAACAACTGGTACTACTTACTTTAAAAGGCTGAATTAATGGCTAACTCCTCAAACACGCTTGATTATTTATTTGCTTTCTTATTTATTTGCCTTCCTATTGACAACTTTTCTAAGTCACATTTGTTGCTTTCCAAAAAAGAACCAAGAATGTGCATCAGGTTTGCTTGAAGCAAATTACAAGAAAACTGTCTCCTTTACAATCTGTTTTTAAAGTTGGTTTAAATATAACCTCAATTAAATTGGAGGATAGACGGGGTGGGGTGGGGTGGGGTAGATACTGAATCAGATCAGTTCCTACTCAGACTATCTTTGACAAAGATGTCAAAGAATTGTGAGATCATATACCTGATCAAGATACTTTAGTTTAATTGAAATAAATGAGACCTAAGTTTGCCTTGTTCTACAGAGCTAAACAAGGATATAAGAAATCATCACTTTTGTCACCTGAACTAGAATCACAGACTGCTAGAATGCCCAAAAGGTATAGTTTGTACTTCATGTACTATGCACTTATTTGCTAATGAAGAAATACTAAGAACCAACTGGCTATGTTATAATTCTTGGACAAATGTTTTACTGTTCTCCCAAACTATAATGCCACTACTACAGAGTAAATATGAGGTTGATATTTTATAAGCAGGTGCAATGTTTGAAGTATTTTGTGTTTATTATATGGGATTCAGATTGAAGGAGGGCACAAGGGAGGCAATTCGCCAGCTTAGCTACAGGTCCACAATACTGCTGCCACACTGCAGGCGTAAAATCTATATGAGGTACAGTGATTTGTCAGCATTTAATATGGACCAATGTACACTGATACAGAACAAAAGTAAATACATAACTTATATATAGTTAAGTATCCATGAACAAAAAATAAAATTCTATCTCCTATGTTATATTTACAATTTTTAAAAAAATCTTAAATGAGATGGTGACTACTAAAGAACCTTGTTTTGAGCTCCAATGATGAATTTTTAAAACAGAAAAAAATATATTTTTGCTTCCCAACGATTGTCTTTTCTTGATTTCTATTGATACTTTAGAGCCAGTATAGGCTAATAAATATCATAAACTGATTCTGCAGATTTTAAATTCAAAACCTGCCCAATAAGTCATACTCTACCATCTGCTGATTCGTGAAGAGCCAATCAAAGTCAAGAACACAGATTTAAGTTATAGATCATCAACACAGATGGAGGACTGGAGCTCAAACAAAGTATTCATACATATAAGAATCTTGCATAAATAAATGAAATAACAAGACATAAAAAAAATGACTCAAATCCGGCAACTGTGAGGCAGGCCCACACGAGTCGAAACAGATGACTTTTGTTCATGTCGTTTTTTTTTGTACAACAGTTTCACATTAGTTAGAAGTGATAAAAAATACCATTTATATCCAGTGCTTATTACACTTACGAAACAACATCTGTGAGTGTGTGTTTTTGTAGTATGAGTAAAAATCAAGTTTCAGTCCTAAAGAACAGTCCTTTGTTCTCTGCCAGCCTGCAGAATATTATTTTGGCATGGTCATAGAATTATAAAAAGAAAATAACGCACGAAACTAAATGTTTGCCCTTGTGCAAAAATAATTACAAAACATACAATGCTAGCAATACAGCATTCTAGCTATGGGAAAAAAAAACAACAACCACAACCCCCGACATGTAGAATGGAGAGAGATTTATAACAGGAGAAACTTGTAGGAAATTAATAAATAGTAATTCTTTAGGAAATAATGGGTTATCTCCCATCCAAGCTACATCTATTAGATCAGTTCAAATTCCTAAGCAATCTCAGAGACAACAAAGGATTTTATTTCAGTACCTTAACTAGATAAAGAGGACTCTCACCAGCTAATGATAACAAGTGCCCTTACATCTTGGCTAGACCAGTTTTACTGTCATAACTGTGGGATATGAGAGAAGCATTCATTCAAATAAATAGAAAAGATAAATGATTCTATTCTAGATTGTAGAATGGCTGCCAAATGACTGTGTGTGTATGCATCCACACATCCACGCACACACCCACACAAATAATCAGTCGGCTTGCTGCGTGGATTAAACACTCTTATTGTAAAATTGCAGAACTGCCTCCACTTCTAGAAATAATTACTGGAAACTGCTAGGTCATATTTTTCTCTTTGTGCTAAAACTACAAGATCTGTGATAGCATGACGATAATCTGGCTCGACACTCCATTAATGTTGCTAATGAGAACACCAGTCTAAAACCCTCTGAAAAGAACTAGGCAAAAAGATACAATGGCCTCTATCAAAAGACCAAGTCTCTCTATGTAAACTTCCCATTGCAAACAGAAACAGAGGGTGCCTCATCTGCCATTCTCGGTAATGGAAGCTCTAGGCACAAAGATATGATTGCAATCGTTTAAGTGTAGAAGAACCTATGTCATATTTCATAGATTTATTACTTGGTGGTTTATCATCTTTGCCATCCTACAAAGTGCTAAAATGCTATTGAAAAACCTGGCACTCTTATCCCCTGAGCAAGCTAATAAGAATCTTTCTCCAGTCTTAAGAATGGCATGTCTGTAGAAGGCAGAACTCACAATTCACCTTCTTATAATTAAATGGTTTAGATGAAACATACTATTTGGAAGGGCAATGGTGAGGCAGCTGCTCCATTTGGATTAATACCTGATATATTTTCTTAATCACCATTAAACATTCACACTGACAATCTGATTGGCATGGAAAAATTTACCCTGCCATACCATAAAATGTCTACGTGAAACAGGTTTTACTTAGAAGGCGTATAAAACTGCAATCTTTCTGGTATATGTAGCAGTTAGAAATATTTGTAACTATTGATAGTAAGATTTAAAGAAGAAAGCATTTATATTTTTAAATCAAAGAATATTAATGCCTTCTACCTTAGGAGTTGGTGAAAATTCTTTAAAGAGTTTATAAGACACTAACCAGGTTTTATACTTTGAAATACATTAAATGCATCAATTTCAAATTTCAGTGTTAAATACTGACATCCACAAATAGCTGGATGTTTAATTTGGGAATGCTTTATTTTACCTTGCCCTTGGCTCCTTAGAAATCAATATTATGTATAATAAAACTATATATTAGCACTGAAATAAATAAGAATTTAAATTTCTACAGCAGTTTTGATCTAAAGGACCTGGCATAATTCACAAATACTGACCTTGGGGTATAGCTTTATGTTCTTTCATTTTGTTTTTCTTATATGGCAGATAATAAAGTTTTGAAAAATTTCAAATACTGCTGAGCATATGCATCTAAATGAGTAAAGTGAAATTATTAAGTACAAGGATGATCTTTGCATCCTTTTCGGTTCTCTATAATTAATATTCAACACAGATTATCTGCAAGATTTAAAATTTCTATAGTATCATCAAAGGATGATTATCAGACTAGCAATAGGAAGATTTCTAAACAGTGGCAGCACTTTACTCTCCAAGAAAGAGGAAGACTATGTTGGATTTCTAGGCTGTCTATGTACTAGACAAAGGTTAAGGTAATCTAATACATAAACTTAACAGAAATAGTTTTAAGCCTTGCACCCGATACTGTGTTACGCTACAACTTTCATTATGTCTAGCACTGGGCATACTAGGTAGGGAATATATGAAGTGTTGTCTGACAACATACAATAACTCAAGATTAGAAAACAGAAGTACTATAGGGAAGCCTCACAAATTATCCTAAAAAGAAACAGCATAGTAGGTAAATATTGTATACTCTCCTGTATATGATACTGTTCTACTAATAATAACATTTTTCCAAGTGTTTCTGAAATGTAGAAACACATTTTCTCGTGTGTGTGAGAGAGACAGAGAGAGAGAGAGAGAAATAGAGAGTTATTCCTTTCCAATATTAAGTGCCTCATTATTTTTAAGATGCCACACACTTTAAGGGGGAAGGGCTCTTTAAAAGAAATAAAAGGCAAACAAATGATAATGCCATTACAACAGTACATTTGAACATATTTTTTTACTACATGGCCCCCTGACATTCTGGAATGAATACATTAAGACCAAATGTAATTAAGACTGAATATAAGAATTCAAAGCAAAGGGACAGAAAATGGCTTGAAGGTGGATTTATGTTGCTAAGACAGGCCTGTCTTAGCTGGTGATCACTCTGTTGTGCTTACTCATGTTTCACACTGATGGTACATCAAGAGGCAGAAGCAATTGAACAAGTGCATTGTAGCAATCATATTCACTTTTTAAGCAATATCCTGTCTCCAGATTCCTGAGTATTTTACAATTTTCTGGAAAAGGTAGGATTTTCTTTTAAGATTTATCAGTATTTTTAAGATGCCAAAGGATTGTCTAAGACTTTACAGTGTCTCCCTTAAGACTTTTCTTTTAAAATATTAAGATTCAGAAGTTAGGAAAGTTTGGCACATCAGAAGGTCAGCTATATCTAAGGAGGGGAAAAAAGGAATTTAGAGACCTTATTTTAAAAAGGATGAGCTAATACAGATAGATGTACACGCTTAGGACTTGTTCTGTTTCATGATAGGAAATTTGTAGGTTTTTGTTTTGTTTTTCAAAATAATTCAGAATAAAAACACATTCACAATCTGTAGGCTGGCACAGCATACCTGAGTGAGAATGTAAAACCCCCATTAAAACAGTAACTTAAACCTTTTTATCAGCATCCAGGAAGAGGAAAGAATAAGACAAAAAAAAAAAGAGAGAGAGAGAGAGAGAGAGAGAGATAAGACTTGTAAGAGAACAATTGATTCATATCAGTTTTCAAGTCCCAATGTCTGATACTTAATGTCTTCACCTAAATTGTTTAAAAAAGTTCATGAAAATTAGGGAACAATCTGTGTCACACAATAAGAAACATTTAAGACCATTCTGCAGATGTAACTGTAGGAGCCATACATGCATGCAGGCTCATTTTAAGAACTTTTTCTTCAAAAGAAAAGAAAAGAAAACAAAGTCAGAGTAATTCAGCAAACATCCTCAGTTGGCAGCGACAGCCTCGTGGGCTTCGTTTTCACTGCTATAGTCTGATTTGGGGTCATCCTCAAAGTCCTCGTACATTTCCATCTCATCTTCCCCATTTATCATTTCATTTCCAGCCAGGCTCCCACTGTCCGTCTTCATGCTGTAAGTGCTCTGAATGACAGGGATGCTGGGCTCAGGACTAGCAGAAGTGCTGGAGCAATCGGATGTCATCTGAGGCGATGGCGTAGTTGTTGTCATAGTAATAGCACCAGGATAGACCACTCCTGTTCCTGTGGCAATTGGAATCTGAGGCTGTTGCCTACAAGGAAACAAAGGTATGTTTGAAAAGTGCTCCCTACCAATTTAAGAAAGGATGCAGCAGCTCTTTATTTCTAAAACATATTGAATAATTTAATCGATACAGACTTATTTATCAGTGCACTTGTGATGTCACCTAGTTTGGTAATAAAACATCTGCAAGAAAATAATCAAGGACCCCACAATGCAACCCTGAGCTACAAATATTCTCTTCTATCAGTATTTATGATATCTTTTCTTTGTTTTGTTTTGGTTTAGTGTGTGTGTGTGCGGGCACGCATGCGCGCCTTTGAGTCAGTGTTGACTCCTGGTGACTGCCTGGATAAGTCCTTGCAGTTTTCTTGGCAAGGGTTTTTGGAAGTGTTTTGCCCTTGTCTCTTTCCTAGGGCTGAGAGAGAGTGTCTGGCCCAAGGTCACCCTACTGGTTTTTGTGCCAAAAGTAGTACTAGAATTCAGGGTCTCCCAGTTTGGTTTAGTAGTTAAGACACCAGGTCAATAACCAAGAGACTGTGAGCTCAGAAACAATTAAAATCAGTAAGACAATAGTTTAGTAACACAATGTAAATTATATTGCATTTTATATTACAATTATAAAGCAAATTCGTCATATTGGTTATGAGCCATAACCAATATAACGAATATAGTGTACAGTCCATTATCCCAGGATCAGACATCATTAAGCATCTTAATGGGCTTCAATGGGCACTCCAAACAGCTAGGGCTGTGCCTGCTGACCTTCCATGTAGCTCTTTTCTTTCTCCATCTGGAAAAGGAATCTGAAGGGGAACTTTTTCCACATTGACTTGATTATGAATGCTACTCTCCACAACATCCAGAATCTGAATAAAACAGGGTCCTTGATCATGAGGATATCTCTTCTCTAACTCCTCAACATGTTTATTGGGCTTTAATTGCTGTATAATGATATTCTTAAGTGAATATGGAACTGACATATTTGAGTATCATAAGTTTTATTCTCTTGCTGCAAAGTCAGTCATCTGTCCCTCTCAGATTGCCTTACTGTCTTAAATGAGGATTATATTCTAATCCTAATCATATTTCCAATTTTTAATCTAAATTTGAGTTACATAAAAAATTAAAAATGTAACCTTCAGTGTGCTAAGCCATAAACAGTCAAAATCAATGATCTAGTTTCCTAGACATCTGATATGAGATTTCCGTTCAATATTTAGAGTCTGAAAATTTGCTCTGGAATCTATCGTTACAATAAAAAGAATCCATGAAAAGACAGACATTCACTATCAATAACAGGAAGGAGAATAATGTAAGTTTCCATAGCGAGCAATATTTATAGTGGACTTTCTTCTTTTCGCAATTGTGTATATGCCAGTGGAAGAACTCTCAAGTGAGGGGAAAAAAAGTTAACCTGTCAGAATTTAATTCTGGTTATTTTAATTAAAGCATATTGTTCAGTATTTTTTCCAAGGGAGATTTGTTAAGCAACATTACTGTTGCTTAAAATACAGACAGTAATCTACAAATTCAGTCCATTCCTATATCTGATTCAATGTTTTGAGTTCTCTTTACAAAGATTCATATTCATTTAGTGCAGTTTTTTCAGTGAACATTTTTGTAAACAATTGCAATTATATGTGAATGGTTCTGAAATGTATAGATTTTATATATTTTTGATTTGTGATCTGCATCATAAAATTTGATGGTTGAAGATTTCAGGAACTTTTAATTAGATAAAATTGTATTAATCATGAAGTAAATGAATTAATTCATATCCATATCGTAACAGTAATGGGAAGTAAATTTTACATTGATATTAATTTAAAAGCAATGTAATACTAATGAATCCCAGCTAATGCATTGTGGATTCAGATTATCATCAATTGTTAATATCACTACAACAGAGTTGGGTGTGTAGAGGGAAAATGTTTAATCATGGGCTAATCTTAATTTAAGGTTAAGTCTCAACCCTAAGTAGGAATGGGATCACTGTTGGGAAGAGATGAAATTCACACATTTAGAATATTTTGCTAGAATAAAAGAAGAAAAAAAACCCTAATACCTACCCTACGGTAAAAAATTGCCTCATCTCCTGTCGTCGAGATCTCATTAGTTGTTTATATTCTCCAATGCGCAGTTTTTTGCCATCAACAATGCAAGTGCGTTTTGGTCTGGGTTTATATTTGTAATTAGGGTATTTTTCTAGGTGAATTTTACTTAATCGTGCTTGCTCTTCATAATAAGGTTGTTTCTCTTGGTTTGACATGGATTTCCAGCGGGAACCTGCATAGAAATATATATATATATATATATATACATAAATATCAGTGAATTGTTGAATCTATTCATTTTAGGGCTAATGAACCTCTAAACAGGAAGTAGGAATCTGGCTGTATGATAATTCCAACAATCTCTGACCATTAACCATTATGAATCAGTCTTACTGAAGTTGGTCCAACAATATTTGAAAGGCCAAAGATTCTCCAAGCTTGTACTCAGTCGTAATCCTTAATTCATTTTAATGCATCAGCCAAGTCAAATCAAACTAATTCTCATATGTTCTTCTCAAATGTTACCAACCTTTCTTATACATCATGCAAGTTGCGAGAGAAAAAAATAAGGATATTAGTTCTGTCTCCCTCTCCAATCTCATTGTCCTTATCAGCAGGGCAAAATATTAGAGCCAGAAACTTCCTGTAATAGGGGTTACCCTTCAGTGTAGAAGGTAATCTCTACTACAGAACTTCTACTTACAGACTAGATGAAACCTTCTCCTTCAGAGCTTCAACCTGAACATGAGGCAGGTGATAAGAATGAAAATATGGAGTGAATGGCATATTGTGATAATGAAGTTTCAGAATATGTGAAGAGGATATAAAACTTTTCAAGTAACTTTATGACATATTTAAGCATAACATAACATAGTTATGTCTATGTTATTAACATAACATAGTCTTCATAACATAGTCAAAGAGATCCAGATTGTTGATCATTCCTCCATACATTTAAAGATACCAGAGTGGCTTACTAACAGAAAATCTAATTAGTCACTAAACTGGCATCATGAAAAAAATAGACTACAAAAATTGAAATGAAATATTTAATTTCTGTGTAGATGAAGTAAAGAACTCGCCATAGTTATATTAAATTTGATAATAATTTCTGCATGCTAACTATCAGGAAATTCTGGGTATATCCTTGAGAAAAAGATCAAATCGCCGTTACTTCTACTACTCAATTATGAATTTATTAAGAGATAGTACCAGGAAATTTTTAAAGGCTGCATAACTAATACCATCCATCATATTGGATCTGAGGCTTTTCCTACTAACATTACTCTTCAGTTCTACATTGCAAATATATTTTATACCTAAAGTGACATTTAACTCTTTTTGAAATGGAAGGCTTATAGGATAAGGGGGAAAAAAACTTATTACTTTTTAAAAATCTCAGTAAACATACCTAAGCCCTTCGCTGTACTAAAAATATCTGATTTAATTACTTGGTTGATCTTGAAATCAATCCACAGCTTCTGAATACATATTTAAAAGTATAAATGTATTAAATGTAATAATCTAAGAGTAAGCAAATTGCATTTTAGAGATGATCCTCTAATCATCTTGGCTTTGATTTAACTTTCTTTGTGACTGATTCAGTGACCCCCTCATTATATTGTGTGTGTATGTGTATGTGTATGTGTATGTGTGTATATATATATATATATATATATATATATATATATATATATATATGTATGTATGTATGTATGTATGTATGTATGTATGTATGTATGTATACATACACACACACACACACACACACACACACACACACACACACCATGTATATATATAAATTATAGGTTAGATTAAGTGTATATACTTAAAATTTCCATGGAGAGTACACGTGCAATATCTTTACTAGTTTAAATTTCTATTAAAAATAATCAAACTACACTAATAAAAGAATACCTAACATTAAAGGGTGAAATAGGGCATGTTGCTTATACAGAATTACTTAAATAGCAGAGATTTTTTTTAAAGGAAAAAACTTTCAGCTGGTTAAAAATGATTACAAAAATGATTATGGTCAACATGGGTGAAAGCTATTTTTTTTACTAAAAGCTTTTATACTTCAACAAACGGAAAAATTGTATAAATATTATCCAGTCAACAACACAAAACAATCTGTTTTAATATTTTCAACTTTTTTTGTCATTGTCCTGGAAAATGTGTACTAATATTATATGTAAATTGTCACATTTTCTTTCTCCTTTTCTTTTCTTCTTTCTCTGGTGGTGGCAAGGTAATTCCTGGCATGTTATATCTTCTTTAAAAACATATGATTGCTGGCACTTCTGAAATATTTATACTGAATGTTTACATTTCAATGAATACTCTTACTATACTTGTAGCAGGTTTTTTTTTTCCTCTAAAGAATGCACACAAATAATGTGGACAGTATATAGTTGCCAAAAACTAAAACAGTACATTTTTTATAGAAAACTGAAAGACTATTCATACAACATACTAAAAGCAGTAGACAAACATAAGCACTTCTATGAAAAACACCACATTTTTTAGAACAGAGTTATACTTATTTCTAGAGGGTTTTTTGAATATCTCTTAAAAGAAGAAAAAAGCCTGTAAGAAAAGTAGCTTTGTTAAAATGTGTAATAATGCAAAATAAATTCAATTCAGATGGTAATTGTTCGTCCATTAGTTAACATTTGCAATCTTCATTTACAATCTTAATTTAAAGACTTGGTGGGAAAATATCCATTTCCCTTCCCAGTCAATCTTAATTCTTCAAACAAATCTTGAATCTTAATTCTGTAGAAAATCAACAGATTAATTTTTTTGTAAGATAGCCTAACATTGGGTACTTGGATAAAAAAAATGTAAGTAAAATGTACTTGGGTATTGAATTCTCAAAACATTTCTATTTAACCCTCTTATTGTTTAGATGCTAGGAAAAATGGTTATCATTCAATTTGACCATCATATTACTGCCAAAGCTTTTTATTCATGCTCATTTAAACATATTCCCAGTGCAAATAAAAATCTCTTTCAAAAAGCTCATGTTTCTAATTTCCTATGATTTCTTATATATATGTGTAATAACATACTGCTAATTATCTCTGTACAACATAATGCTACTGACATCCAGAAGATGTATTGCTTTGTTTCATCTAAGGAGAAGACACGAGTTATACTGAGGCCAATTCCAAATCTCAAAATTTTGTTAGTGAAGAATTCTCTGGTTTGCGTAATTCATCTATTTTTGATGGGACTGTACACTCCCTTAAAAAAAATAAGGCACATCTCAGGATTCCTCACAGAACTAAAAGGATCAATATAGGTCCAGTATCAAAAAGCACTTTTTTTCTATTTTGAGCAAGATTATAAAACAAGACAAAGCAATAAAAGTATTAAAATATATTAAACCATAAATCCTAGAAATATAACTGAGTGATGTTGTCTTCAATAATTAGTTATACTACAATCCACAGATATTTGCTTGGCATTAGCAATAGCACTTAGATTTATATACCACTTCATAGTGCTTTTACAGAGCACTAAGCGGTTTGCAAAATCAGCATATTGCCGGCAACAATTTGGGTCCTCATTTTACCAACCTCGGAAGGATGGAAGGCTGAGTCAACTTGAACCGGTGAGATTTGAACTGCCGAACTGCAGCTAGCAGTCAGCTGAAGTAGCCTGCAGTGCTGCACTCTAACCACTGCGCCACCTCGTCTCATTAAGTACGGAAAGAGCGTTTTCTCTTGTGGCCCTGATTCTGTGCAACACTTTCTCCCCCCCCCCCAGAAATGGACCGGTTCCATTTGAGATGCTTGTACTTACCAAGAATTTTGCTAATGTTGGAGTTGTGCATGTCAGGAAAAGCTTGAAGAATTTTCCTGCGTTCATCCTTTGCCCAAACCATGAAAGCATTCATTGGTCGTTTGATGTGCGGCTCACTGCTGCTTCGTCCCCGGGCATCTCTGTAGACTCGAGCTTCAGCCACAGTAGCACCTCCTGTTGGCCAACAATAATACTGCTGTAGTTTAGCTGCAGAGCCATTCATTGCTTTACTTCCTGTAATGCCAGAGCAGGAAGAAAGGAGATGGATGCCAACATTATTATTATGTTATCTGGATTAGGGATAATTTCATAGGTCCTTCTCATTTCCTTTTTCCAGAATTATGAATGAAATGAATACTAAATTCAGCTATCAATTTAAACAATTTTGGTGTTTCTTGGATATTTGCTATCCTTCTCTTGAGCAATGGGTATAACAAGTTTGTGATACTTGACTAAAATATTGGGATGAGAGACTGATATACTGTACATTTAAAATAATGTACTGTACATTTCCACAAAAAGATGCAAATAATGATAAACATGAAGTGTATCATAGGAACAAAATGTAACTGTCATATACTATAATTATGACAAGACAAAAATAAAAAAACTTTATTTTAGATCGCTGCCCACATGCATGACAAATCTTCAGTGACTCTGAAATCTTGATGAAAACTAAACTGATAGAAATCTGCAAAGCACTTCTGATTTTACAATGTGGACAAGTTTTATACTGTCTTTACTTTTGAATCTACTTTTTTCAATTACACAGAAACCTAACCCTGCCAACTGTTGTAAAAAAAACATCAACTGTAGTTTAAGCACACAATTATTTTGATTGTTCTGTACAAGCAATTCATTTTTATGGATAAAATTGTGCAACAGTGGATGCATAACTAATATGCTACCTTTTTGCCAGCATGTCTACAGTACATTAATTTCATTTAAAATGCACTGACCATACAGGATAAATTGATTTCACTTTATATGATGTTGACAGCCATGTTTATTGTGCAGTGAAATGTAGTGTAGCTTCAGGCTGACAATATCCATCAACACAGGGCAATATGTTGACTGCTGGGCCAGATGAAGACATACATTATCCTAGAAGCAAAACACTTACTTATATGTGACACTGTCTTCTCTTAAGGATCACCAGAGTAATTTATGAAGCCCTCAATACCATTACTTTAAAACTGACACCAGTTTTACCACAGCATGCAGATAAAAGACAAGTCTGCTGTGAATGTCAAATGCAGTATTTTAACAGTAGCAGAAGTTTAACTACTGTGCCTTGGCTTTCAACATTTGCTAGCAAAAACTATTACTGCAGCCTCTCTATCATAACACCAAGTAGATGGAAATGTACCTGGTATCTAACAGAAAACAGTAGACCCAAAATGAAGTCTTGCTGCAGAAGCTCAATGTGTAGTTCTGCATATACAGTGTCTTTTATACCAGCACTCTAACTGGATTTTAGTATCAGGTTTCATTGTTATTTCAAATATGAAAGCACAGACATATTGATATCATTCAGTTTTAAATTCCTAAGTGTGCAGTAGGAATAGATGAGACATTAATTTTCCATGTCTATCTCTGTGTGTGTCTGTGTGCATTTGTGGGTGTATGTGAGAGAGAAAGAGAGAGGAGTCAAACTTCAACTATATTTTTTTAACATGCAGAATAAACATTTATGTCTCAATCATCCAACTTTTAGTGGTTTAATCAACTATCTCAGTCAATGTGTATTTGGGGATCAGTATCAGATAAGAGATCATGGTGGGGAGAGTGTTCCAGGGAGAATGAAGAAAGAACACCTGGCATGTACATCAAGAACATATTTTCCCAGCAAGAGGGTCATCTCAGCTAAATAGGAAGGGATTGGAAGTGGACAATCATGTTAGTGACAAGAACAAAGACTTAATTTCATATTGCACCATAAAAGGCAGCAGTAAACTCTTATATTTTATCAAGAAAATGACGTGGACAGAAAATATAAAATGACTGACAATATAGTACATGATAGTGGGCCTCTGAGGTAGGATGGTACTCAACATGCTACTGAAAAAGAGCTTTGGACATTTTACTAATAGTGTTTTTGACACTGCTAGAGGAAAGCCTTCCAGATATGTTGCTGCTAATGTTGCCAAGCAGAACAAGAAAATCTAAAGGTGCAAAGATACTGAGAACATGAAACACAAGAATCATAAGCATGAGAAAGTTAAACACAATGAAAGATGGAATTAATCAATTACACATTGACATCTTAGATGTCAGGGAACTGAAATGGTCTAGACTGGACATTTTTTCAATCAGATGATCATACTGAAGAATGTTATTTATTTCATTTTAAGGAAGGATGTAGCAAAACCAGTATTGATATGTCAACTAAACTTTATAAATGAATTAATCATTCAGTTTGACAATTCTCCAAATTTATAGCAGTGATAAGTACACTATCAGAAGAGCTGAAGGGATGGGTTGGAGGCAGATCATCCTGAGGAATTCACTAAGACATGATACTAGTTTGATGGTATCCCTTGTGGGCTGTCCCCGGTTCGCACTGGTTCTATAGAACCGGTAGTAAAACTGGCGGGAGGCTCCGCCCACTGACCCAACGTCATCAAAACGCTTCTGTGCATGCGGCCCTGCTGCGAACCGATCGTAAAGGTAAGTAGAACCCACCCCTGGATGGTATATAAGATGGCAGTTTATATGAAGAGACTTAATTTAGCCAAGTTCATAAAGTAGAACAAATTTATCCTGTTTTGGATGAGATCACAGTCTCTCTGATGCAATGCATTTGCAGACAGGGATTCTATTAGATTCAGGCCACCCCTGAAAATCTAAGAAACACATAGGGCTTTTCACAAGCATAGAACTCTAGAACAAACACAATCCTTCCTGAATAGAGATAGCCCATCTTCAGTCATCCATGCCCTAGTAACCTATTTAAACTAGTGCAATTTAGTGGAACTACCTTTAAATCTCTTGAAAGCTTAGTAAATTTGAAAATAGTGTTGCTAAGATACTAATTGGGACTGACTATTTTGTGAGTTCTTAAAATGGTATGGAGCCAAAAGATTTTGCTGTCACAATGGCAAAAATATTGTTTATACATCTGGCAGCGGGGAAGATTTGTTTTTGCAATAAATTTTGCTGGAATGACAGTTAGTCTTTTGGTAAGTTATACCTATGGCTAGATACAACCCCCCCTCCCCAGCCTGCTATTGTATGGTAGTTACCAGACATCCTGAATCAGCAAACAAGAAACACAAACCTCATCTGATTGGAAAAGCAATGCTTCAATTTCTTTAGAAATGTTCCTCATCAAAAACATATTGAAGGCATTGAATTCGTTTATTGGGTTCTTTCAATCATCTTGGTCTAATCTTGCAGATCTAATACAAGCAAATGACCAGTACATATTTCTGCACTTCTGAGCAATCAGACAGTCAGAAATATTTGCTGAAATATAAACTGTAAATTATTTGGAGATTATATCCCAAGATACATTTTCCCTTGGCATTTATTTTATTTCATTTATTAACAAACAATTCTTAATCAGACTTATAAATCACAAACAGACCAAGAAAATCATGCAACTTCTATCTCTGTCTGTCTTGAGCAAGCCTACACTTGAAAGATTTGGAAATAAAGCTAGTAAAACCTTGAACTTCTCTACTTGATTTCTGAGTGAATATTTGTGCTCCGGCCTAAGGGCTGCTACAGAAGAATGTGCGTTAAATGAGCTTCTGCAAATAATTAACCATCATGTAATATCCCATACTCTTAAACATCTTACCACTATAGAAAGATGTTCAGCATATTATAAATGACAGAGTGCTTCTTTTTATAATATTTACTATATCATAGATGCATTGTTAATTCACTAAGGCTACATTGATTTAGTTAAAAAGTTAAAAGCATCAATATTTGCTCCTTGCAAACTTAAATCTATAACCCCTAAGAAAAAAATTATTTGTAAAATTATAAATAATTGCTACAGCATTTAAATATCAGCCAAAAAGTTTTTTTAAAAAATCTTTAAATACGCTTATGGAATTTCAACAACTTTGCAACTTCCAGTAACTAGGAATGGATATATGTTAACCCAGTCTGAAGTCTGCCTAAGTTTACACTAGCTGAGATTAATGTATGAAGGAGAATCTACTTATACACTGAAATACTCCTCAGATTTTTGTAATATGGTTTGCAACACAAAATGTATGTATATAATATCAAGAAAAAGTCAAAATGGGTTTAGTTGGGGAAAGTGTGCAAAAACTACATTAGAAAAGGATGTAATGTAACAGTGAGATAGAAATGGGGAACAATTATCAGAAGAAACATCAGTGTTCGAGAAAGGAAAAGTTTAGTTCAGGATCAAAAATACTCTGTGTGTGTGTGTGTGTGTGTGTGTGTGTGTGTGTGTGTGTGTGTGTGTGTGTGTGTGTGTGTGTTTTCTAGTAGCAAACAACAGATTTTATGGCATCCCAGCTACTTGGAGACTGATAGCTGGTCTCTAAAACTTAAATTTGAAACAGTATGCTGAAAATGCATTTGTTGAAGACAAAATTTTAAAAACTACATGTTTGCCTTTTATGACAAACAGACTATATGGCAGTCTACTATTTGTAATTCAGTCACAAAAGCATAGCTTTCTGAAGTTCAGAAACTACTAGAAAAGGATTAAGATTTGGTTCAAAAGAATATAATGGTACTAGCTGTGGCTCAGCATCGTTTTAGATTTCTTTACTCCTTTTAGCTGAGCCTTTAAATATGGTATCATGGGAATCATGATGCTATATTTATAGGTTTCAATTTAAGGAGGTAAAAGTTACCTAAACATTCAAAAAATGAAGAGTTTGTGACATGTATGTGTGTGCATACATACTCAGGTACATCTCTCTTTCAGAGCTATCGTTCACATATATGATAACAAAAGCTCATGTGATAATATATTTGCAATTCAAATGCATTACATTTCTACGTCCATAGTCATAGTGAATTCTGGGAGCTACATATCCCATACAGCTAAACTGTACCAAGATGGAAAACATTATCAGATTTGGTAGTAGACAGGTTTATCCTATTCTTTTAAATAAAGTAACATTTACTGGGGATTCCAATAGCAAATGTTCCTGGATAAAGAGCCACAAATATATGACTGATGTTTTAAATCTTTACCAGTATTTAAGCAAACCATATTCATTTATTTAAAATTTCTAGAC